GTCAGTTTGGCCCCCACACGAATGCTTCCAGTTTTCTATCAATCTTTTTAGGAAAGGGTCAAATCAAAGGCCTTCTTTCGTTTTGAAAAGGTTCACTAACTCCCTTCCCTTCAGCAATTAAGCAAAGATTAGACTGCTCAGATTCTCCATCCTCTCATTATTGTAATTAGGCGACTGAACATGAGAGGCTAAAACTACCTGAAAAGTTAAGGAGGGAGGAAATAGTATCAACCATGCCTCTTTTCTCTCTATGGTTTACCTTGTTCTGTAATGGATCATCGACATAGATGAAAACCTCAATAATCAAGCCTGTACTTTTGTCGGTGGTACAAATTCAAAGAACAATGAATGAACAGACATGTTAAAACTGTCGAAATAGCAATGCTTTTAACAAAATATGAGTGCCTCATGCACCAACCATCTCATACCACAGTGCTAGCTCAACTAGTAATATTTTGTGTTTAGTGTTTAGAAAGCTTTGTCGCCTTTGTGATTCTATTTGGCTCAACCTAAATTAGTCAAAGTCCGATACAACTTTCAGATACGGGGTCATTTGGTTGAAAAAATAAGTATCTTAGACAGATAGATGCTCTTAAGAATTTAATTTCAAGGTTAGCAATTCACTAATATCAAAGCTTTAGCCATGAAATGGGAAATAAACTAATTAGCTGTCAATTCTTAACAATTGAACATAAGCAAACATGGAAAGTACCATAACCTTGTTTCAAATGATTTGTTTTCAAAATTTGTGATCAAGTGATGTAAGAACAAGAAGGCAAACTACTATCTTTTTCATTTGTAGACGTGGAGTAAAAATCCTAAGGACATCACTCTCTGGGCAACGTGGACAGCTTCCCTACGTCTCTTAAAACTTCTGGTAATTTTCTTGAGCAATTAGAAGGATAGTGTGGCAGAAAATGGACCTCGCAATAAGTGCACAATTGCAGAGATGGATAGAGACATCTTCCATGAGATTCAATGTCATTTTAGAACTTCCTTATCAAGGTGGAGCCACCACAGAGCCGTGAACAGAGCAGAAAGTAACCCAGAATCATAGAGAAACCATGTAAAAGGTAATTACGCGAATCAGTGCTACAATCTCATTGTGATTTTTGAGGGACAGGAACATGAGTGTCACATTAGATGTAAGAGATTGTTATGACGTTTACTTAGTAATTTTCATTAGATTCTCTAACCTCATAAACCAACTTTTGGAGCATGGCTCTCTCAAAAATTCATATCAATTTCTATTACAACACTCCATTACGTCTTAATTACAATGCTGTCCTGAAATATTAAATATTGTGGGCATGACAGCACTGGAAAACCACCACAAACCAGGTTGGCATAAGGACTATGAAACATTTGGAATATGACTCATCCTAAAGTTGTACCAATTTGTGACAGAGGTAATAGTTCTTGTACTAAACTCATAGTTCTGCAGAAAAATTTTGTTGGGATGAACAGGGTATACACTGTACAAGGATTACAAATTTCAGTTTACCATGATGACAATTACAGAAATGACTGTCATCATTGTTGTCAGAAGTGATTCAGAATAAGCCTGAAGCCATGGGAGCAAAATGCCACTATAGTAACAAAACCTGGTTTTGCACATCTTCATCATACTGCTTATCTTCAACACTCGAAAATATAAAAGGCATATCCCGCAAAATCCTGTGCGAAATAGACTCTTTTGTTTAAGGCTTATATGGAAGCATGAAGAAGAAGCACTTAACTATTGGGTAGTGCTACAGAGCAAAGGGGCCACACACTCCATCTCCACAAAATCAATGGTAGGTAGTGGGGGTCCTCGTCCTTTCTTATTTATTTATTTTAAAAAGGACAGAGAATATGATCAATTCTTGTAGTCATTTTTTCAAACACCTAAAAGTCATCCTATATTTTACATGCCTGAAGCATCTAAAAGTATACAACCCAATAAGATCATTTGACATTCTTTAATACAAACTAACCTCCAAGATGTGTAATGACCATCAATAATTTACACTCCTAAATCTTCATATTGTTTTGCCTTTTTTCGAAGTTCATGGAGGTAATACGAGGTGTGAACAAGAAGAAAGTACACAAGATTCTGCTTGTTCATGGTTTAGGTTTTCTGTTCACATGGAAGCTAGGAATAAATTCAAATCCATCTTTCCTTTTTGATCAGGAGATATATATATATATATATATATATGAAGTTTCTGAACAAGTATGTATTAATCAACTCGTAAAATTACCTTAAAATGAATTGTTCAGTCACATTGCTGATGACCTTAAAGCCAACAGAAGCACAGAACTTTGTAACGTGTCATGATATCTTTATTGATGAACAGTTTCCTTAATTAATAACCACACAAAAATTGACGCAAAGTTCCAATTCGAAGCCCAAGATCACTGAACCGCCATAATTTCAGCCCACTTCATGATGACAATGTCTTAAAAAACCCAGAAACTGAAAACATCAATCTTATCTCTTGATCTAATTTAAGAGAACCTTCAAAGCAATCATACATGTCTGCGTCCAAAGCCATGAAACCATGTCTAGAGTACCAAACTGAGGAGACCTCATTGAGGCCAGGTAGTTATTATTCACGATTAAAAGAATTCTAGATTTATAAACCCATTAAGAGAGAATGGTTAGGGACGGTACTTTTGACTGCCAACTCGTCAAGTTCCTCTTTGATCTCAAACAAATATTACTCCAATCATATGATCTATTAGATTTTATATTTTAAAGATAAGTTGTTCATGGCTTCTTCAATACTAGACCTTACTCATGCATGTTGACATTTCTTTGGCTGCAGTTCATCAGTCTCCGTCCTCAAAAAGAACACTAACACTCCAAACATGTCTCTCATTATTGATATTCACGATTCCGTTGATAATTTGATCATATTCCCTGGAATCTTAAACCTGGCACGGCACGTTGTTACTATTAATTATTGGAGAACTTCATTAACTATCATCTAACGTAATGATATGTACATTCCAAGTTGGAAACCTCACCATCTTGCAGGGCCAAGTTGTAATATTTGTCATATACGCAAGCTGAAACGTAGGCTTTATCAGAATACGATGTGAATAGGACCTCACCTCACAACTTTACATATATTTGCTTGGTTCACTGTGCCGTACTTATGTTTCTTATCAACCTTACAACTCTTCCCAGTCATTCCTTTTGTCCCTCCACCCTCTCATCTCACAACTTCAGTATGGAAATTATTGGTTTGCTGAAAGAAGCATGTCTTCATATATAGAACCACAAACCTGTATAGCTAGTTTTTTTGCCCTTTTACGTACTCCCGTGTTGATTATTATTCCTTCCCTCCTTAATATAAGAAGAGTCATGTGCATAGTGTGGATTGAGTAAATTAGCTAAATTTGGTTAAAGTATATGTTTAGTCTTTTATCTTTATACAAGATTTTAGTTTGTTTTTTCCACTTAAAAATATATATATTTTTAGTCTTTTAATTCTAAAATTAGTTTTAAATAAGAGTTTTTTTCGTAACTCTCGTGATTATTTTGAGAATTAGACTTAAAATGTTAGTATTTGAAAATATTTTATTCATATTCAAAATCTTAATATTATTATTTTTGTTAATGATTTTGGGGTTAAAAGGACTAACAGTATATTCTAGCTGCTAAATTGTAATGAATGTGATATGATCACCCTAAAATACTCATATATAACTACGAAAAATGGGTTAAGTAAATGAGTTGGAAGAAAATAATAAACAAGAAAAACAAAATGAATTGCAGTATTATATTATGTGTAAATCTAACCTTCAATTAATTCTTACATAAGAAAGAAGAGGAGGATCCATTTCTTTGTCCCAAGTCTTGAATTAAGTGATGCGTTGTCTACAAGAGGGCAGAATCAATCTTGGGTGACACACATATCCATCGATTAATAAGAACGCAAGTTCCTGGAAAAGATAGATTAAGGGGAAACTTAGCTGAAGCTTTGGATTTTGGAGCAGGTTCTCAGTTCCAAGACCTCAAGAATTCGTCATTATTGGAGTTTGAGCTCGTTCCTACACATGTATTCCACTCCGTTTTGCCTTCACCGTATGCTCCATATCTTTTATGTCCACTTTCTTTCGGCAAGTAGCTTTTGAATTCCAAGAAACAGGCATGAAATATGAGTATAAGATTTAGGCGTTGCGAGTCAACCAATAACGTATGTATGTTGTGATGCATGAATTGTTTCCATGCATGGATAACCCGTATCTATGTCATTGACGAATTAGTGTTTGTTTGGCGTCATTTATACAAGCATGTTTTATGTAGGCTGAAGTAAAAGTTCTTTTATATACTTACTTTATATTCTATAAATTACGATTAAAAAACTGCTTATAAGTCATTTTAAAAAGACTTTCAATCATTGTGTATACGGATGAAAGACAAACAAGAAAGTGATTTTTTAAAATTTGATTTTTCCAAGTCTAATACCATGCAATATGATTCAATTTGACATAATTTGATTTCACATATGGCTCCCTCAATATGACTTTTTTATAATTAGTTATGAATTTTTAAGTTTGACAAAAAAATCTAAAATTTATTTTGATTTCTAAGTTTAATATCATATAATGTGGTTCCATTTGACATAATTTCACTTCATATATGGTTCTCTCAATGCAATTTTTTTTATAATTAGTTATGAATTTTTAAAGTTGAATAAAAAATCTAAAATTTATGGGTGACTAGTGAGAGAGAGAGAGATTAACCAAATTGAGCTACGTTGGACAAGATAGGGCCCAAGCTCAAGTGCGAGTGCTAGTCTGCAATAGAACCCTCCATTTCTTTTCTGTTATATACGAACGGTATAACAAAATAAAACTCACATAGACATGCCTATATTTTGTGTGGCAAATTTTTTATGAATTTTTGTCAAACTATAACAAAGCATTTTTGGGTTAATATAGAAATTAAAAAACTGTTCAGTGTGAGAAGAGAAGACAACTCTTCTACGGCCTGGGAGTGAGAAGAGTAGAAAGCATTAGCTCTGGGCCATTAAATTTTCAATAATGCCAGATGGTCAAGCCTCAATGTACAAGAATCAAGTCGAAGTCCAATGGACTAGCACAGGCCCAAGTTTATCCAAGAGGGCTCGCTTACAGCATTCAAACAGAGAATGAAACAATGGCTCCCAAGCTTTTCTCCTGACTCCACTACCTAAACTGAAATCTCAACACTAAGAAGATACTTGCTAGGTTGCTATCAGATTCTACAATAAAGCATGACCGGTAGACACTCTTTTGAAACTAATCATTACACGATTGATTCCTGAAATATAAGATTCACATATAATACTTCAACTAGACTAAGAAACTTTACATGTCTAACTGGGCATACCTTTTTAGGAGCCATCCCTCTTGAGAAATGCCTTCAAAATTATCAGGCCAGTCCCCTAAAATTAGAAGTTAACATAAATATATTTTCAGACAAGGTTCTTGAGGTTGGCCTGGGCGTAATCCAATAATTGTTGCTCCCTTCGAATATCAGCAGCAATTTTATAGCTTTCCCACTTCAACATCCTCACCATGTCTTCCGCTTGAACATAGTTTAAGGGTAGGTCAGATTCTCCAGAGGCCACAGGAAAATTCACTTCCACTTCTTTCCTGGAGCCAGGTGAAGTTTTGTGAGTCAGTTTCTTAAGATCAAAAAGAAGAGCATACTCAAATTTTAAGGAAAATTTACATCTAAAGAAAAGATTTCTTAAAAAATTTAGTTGATGCCTTCAGAAGGTTTAACTATCTTAGAGGGTAGAAAAATGATTTTATTCATGCATGAATTCAGAGGGTTGAGGATAACCTGACACTGACCTACTACCAAGACAAAAGATGCCGCATTTCTTAATCATCCCACCATCCAAAGACAAAGCTCCATCAACAATACAAGGAAGAGCACCTAGCATCTCTCTCCTGGTTCCATATATTTGGAGGCGTGAAAATAAGAAGTAGAACAATGTTTCTCGAAGGCCAAGCCCGTCAGCAGTAATATATGATAGATTCTCAGAATCCAAATGGATCATGTTCACTGCATAATCAATAAACCCAGGAGGACAATCCCCATTAGGCAATTTTGGCTTTGGAAGATTTAACTTCTTTTGAGGATCATTGGGTACAAAACCACCAACAAATGGTCTGAAAACCAAAAAAAATTAAAAACTTCAAAATTATAATCAAACCCCGTCACTTAATTGAAAAATATATATAGTTCATAACTTGCCTTAAATCTTCAAGACATATAGCAATATACCGGCCATGTACTCTTTTTCCTATTGAAGACCCAAGCCCATGCAAACCTCTGGAAGAGTTTACTGTGCCTCCTGCGTCATACTTCTCAAGTGCATTAATGCCTTCATGAGTCTTGCATACAATTGCCAGCATAGTCTCCAGTCCCAAATACTCAGAAAGAATCCTGTAATGAGAAGTGCAGTACTTATCTTCTTGCTTGATGACTATGCCAGTGAGGATACTGTTAAAATTCATACTAGTAACAAGAAACAAGGAAATTGACAGATTGTGTTGCTTGTTCGGTCGGCATCTCAACATGTATGCATATGTGATAGTAAAAGAAAAATATCAGCCTCACTTTTCAAGATAGGACAAGATGAGTCCACGGTTCAATAGCTGTCAGGCAGTTTGGGGGAATAACTAAAGGCCTAAGTACCATCTTAAAAGCTAGCACAATATAGGACATAGCAACAACAGGCTTTTTGCAGGACTGGGAACCAGGATGACAAAAAGACTGTTAAAATTTTGAAAAGAAGAAATACTGACTGGCTAAGTTCAGCACTGCCAACCCTAGCGAGAGATGCAACAACTCCTACAACATCCTTGGTAAATAACGCATTCGATGACCAAGACAGAGTATTAGATTTCAACCAGCAAAGTAAGCCAGCAGCAGAGTTCTCTTGCTTCAATATTTGTTGGATGGTTTCCTCTTCAGCTTGCAAAGTACCATTTCCATTTTCTGTCCCAGTTACATTAGCCGAATGATACCTTCCAAGACTCACTAAAAACTAAATCAGTCAAAAATTGCTGGTAGAGAAACTCATATAACAACTAATTAAACAGATATAATCATTGCTAATACCAGATGGAGAAGTAAAAGTACTGAGAATATTGTTCGACGGCCATCCCAACACATGACATGATATTTCTTCACTTATAGCAACAGCAGTGTTCATAGCAGAGCTAGTCATGTTCTAACCGCTCTACTGAAAAATAATTTGGCTAAAAAACTAAATAGCTCTCCCAGTTACATTCCCTTGAAACAGTTACATTGATCTCAAATTAGTTTGCACAGTTAATGTTAATGACTACCTTCAGCGTGACCCCCACACCCCACCTTCCCCTTTAAAAATACAAAAAAGAATAGACCTTTCATAACATACTCTGTAAGTCAAGAATAGATTCGCCTATGTGATTTGCTTGAGAAGTTAGAAATCTAAGGTTATCTTCATGCTGCTTGTACTTATTCTTGAAGCTCTCTGCGTTATTCCTTAGATTCTGCCAAAAATTAACAATCAACACAATTACAAGGTTCAGCAAGATTGAGATCATGGTATGGCAAAAACGGCAACACATAATATGAATATTGTTACTTCTTCAAAGTCCAAATTTCAAGTCATATGAAGAACACATAACTTGTACAGATTGAATGGATCCATAATATGGAGGACCTAAACACTAAACTAGCTTACAATTCCACCTTCCAAGGCAAATACATGAATTAGTGAGTCAACCAGATTCAATACTGGGAAGTTACATTGTTCAGCGATCAATGAAAAATGCGGCTTCCTGTCGCTTCTAAATTTATAATGATTGATATTGATTCCCAAATCTTTAGCAAAGTTTTGAGTGCGTAGCAGAAACTAACTTGGCTCCAAAATTCAGTTCATTGAGCAGCAACAATTCAATTGAAAGGTGCAGAGGCAAAATGCATACAAACACATGAAAAAGGGGAAATGCAGCTTATAGCACATTCATGCTACCAATAAAGTTCCTTCTTTTAAGTTACAAAACTGACAGTACAAACAAATCAGCCTTCCCAGATACCTCAAAAAGGGGAGGGAAAGAAAAACTAAATAACATTGTTGGCCAAAAAATGATAACATTACATCAATTTATCCAAATTGGGCTTCGCACCAAAACAATGAAAAACGGGGTATTTAAAAGACCAGCACAATGAAAAATCACAACAATCGCCAAGATTATTGGAAGACGATAGATGAACGGACCTTACTAAGTGACGGCTCACGCGAAGAGTACAGACGTGGGTTTTCTCACGGGTCGTATGAAATTGGCTTTAAACGAGTGAAGAAGGGCCTAGGTTTTGGACGACGAAAGAAACAACCAGGGATGGATTTTTCACGGAGGCACACAGAAAGAAGATGATAAACGATGGAAGATGGAGAAGGAGACGCCCAAAACGAATCATCAACACAATCAAACTTCAACTTAAGACACAAATTTTGTAGGAAGCCCATTTACAGAAACAGGCTAATGAGCAATGAATAGTATCTTTTGTAAAAAAAATGCAGATAAAAAGATTAAAGCTACAAAAGAGATAAAAAGACGAAGTTTTGAATATGGAAGAGAAATTGATAATATTTATAAGACCTGGCCACTGGCTTGAGACATTGCGCTGCTAAGGACGACAATCTATCTGCAGATTCGCTGTTTCGCAGGAAGTAAAGTGGGGAGCGAAATCCGTCGTCTCGGCTGAAGTAATACAGTTTCAGTGGCAGTTTAGTAATTTTGGCAAACTCCTCTGACAATACTCAAAACATCACCGTACTTTCACTACTTTGTATGGACCTCTCCAGATGAAGTCATTGGGAATGAAATCTTCCCTTTTATTATTTTTTGTCTTTTTATAAAATTTCAAGTTGAGTCACCTAAAATTTAATTTTTTATATTTATTTTGATTAACCGTATAGCCTATTTAAGATGAAATATCATACTAATTTGTAATGAATTAAATTAATTAGAATAATTTTTCTTGGTTTAACTTTTTTTTCTCGGTTACAACAAGTGCTTCATTAACCAAAAAGATCATATTGAAATATAGATTTTAATTATTCTTTTTTATCATCCAACTTAAATGTTATCTAAAAATTATAAAAAAATTCTCAAAAGTATATTACTGATTGTGGCTGGATGGAACAAAAAGAGTTTAATTTCTATTAAATAAGGTTAAGATTTGTGAGTTAATAGAAAATATTATGCTAACAAAATTATTTCAATTAGATTACTTCAGATGTATCAATTTCTTTTAACAGAAGACTCGCCCTTGAATATGTTATGGTATAGAGGTGAAAATTCTCCCATATGCATATAAAAATGTCTCCCAACTGTTTTTTTTAATTTTATACAATTTCCTTTTTAAATAAATGGGTATTTTGCATATACTTAAAATACACTAATTCATACTCTTCTATGTTCTGATTTGTACCCACTTGCAATGGGCTTGGGCATCAATCCATTGAATGGACTTCATTAAATCCAACATTAGATTCTTCTTCTGTTTTATTTTTAAATACATCCAGTTCTTTGTGCTTTCAAGAATCATGATTTAAGTAATTTATATATACTCCCAACCAATAGGAATTAAGTCTAGTAAAAATGGTTAGTTCTTCGTAACATGACGAACTAATATTTGAATAAGAGATACCTATATTTAATGTCTAATAATACTTCGAATGAAAGGATATAGCAACTAAAAAACTTATATATACTCTCTCAGGCCCAAAATATACAAAATTTTATAAAAAAATTTTTGGTCCAAAATATATAACCACTGATATTTTCCCACTTTTACCTTTTATTATAAGGAGAGAAAGTTTTAAATGCAAAAGAAAGCAGAGAGAATTTTTTAATAACATTCTTTAATAATAATAAAATATATAACTTTTATGAATTTACAACACATGCAATGACTTAAATAACACTCCTTAATTCGTGAAAAAGCTTAACTAATGTCTTATATTACGGGTCAAAAGAGGTATAACATTATTAAGGGGAGTTTGTTTCAGCTTTTTAGAAGTATTTTCATTTTAAACTGAGACAAAATTTTCCTCATATATTTATATATAAAATCACCTTCGAGCAACTAATTCAAACACTCCCTGACACACACGCATGCCTGGGCCTAATCAGAAGAGCCGAAAGAGACGTGATGTAATTAACAAACATTGACTTGGTTATCGTTGAGAGATGAGTATCTTGTTTAAGGCTTTAGATATATAAACATGCGTATATACCATCACACAACACAGAATCTGAAACAAATAATATTTTATAACTAAGTTATGAATATTATGGTTTCATGTTGATTTATAGATTTCATGTAGTTGCATATACTATAATATACCAAGAAAAAAGAAAGTATAAATGTATATCGACGTACAGTTACAATCCAATATACTTGGGTTTACGTAGTGTAATTTGATCAAAGTCCCGATCCGATACTGACGTGAACATGCACACCTCCCAGCTCAGCCAATCACAAGCGTCGAGGCCCCAAGCTATGGGCCCCACCATCACAGTGACCATAAAAAGGCACTGTTGCTTCGTTCAAAACATTGCCTCCTCCACACAAAACTCCCTCCTGTTCTTCCTCCTACATTCACATCCCACACCTTTCGCAATATTCAAACCCTGCGAAAGGCGAAGAGCGTCTCCGAGGAATTCGCGTAGCCACCCACCATTTTCTTTGGTAAATTAAGCATCCCATCTTCTTCTTTGGTTTTCACTCTCTTGTGTCATATATTTATCCCATTCCTTTCTCCTCAAATTCACTCTTTTACATATCTCATTGATTATACTCAAGGCAGGAGGCTATCGTTTTTAGGTAGAACATTCGTTCTTCAGTTTTTTTTTTATTTGGGTTTTGTTTTTTGTCCCTTGTTGTGTACTATTGTTTCGAGGATCGTTAACTGTTTTTCTTTTGGACTGAGAGGATCGTTAACTGTTTGATCCGCATGATTTCTCACTTGCATTTCCTTCTGGTTCTTGTGGATGAATATCATTGAATATCTGGGATTTTATTTACATTCTGAGCTTAGATTATGTGTATGAACTGATTAGATCTTGGTGGCCGTTACATGTATGATATATTTTTTCAATGATCACAGATTTCTAACATCAGCATATCTGTTCTCAGAGGAGCTTTTTGGAAATTTTAATATGTGGCGGTCTACATCCTCGTAATTCTTGTTTCACGCTTTGTCTTACGATTAATTTTGTTGTTTCTGTCTGAATAATTATTTCCTATGTATTATTAAAGCATGCTTGGTGATTTTGTTTTCCCTCTATCTTGATTGTTGTGAATAATTATTTCCTATGTATCATGCTTGGTGATTTTGTTTTCCCTCTATCTTGATTGTTGTGATCATGTAAATCAATGTACTTCTCCGGTTCTAAATGTAAGACTCTTATCGAGTGTTATCTTATATTTAGAATCGGAGGAGTAATTCATCAATTTATCAGACATTGTTTGACTTGTTTACTTACTTTCTTCATGGCAGTCACCATGGTTGATCAGGTTCATCACCCCACCGTCATACAAAAGGTCGCTGGCCAATTCCATTTCCAATCTGGTCTTTCTGCTGATATTAAAAGTCATGATAACAGTTTCAGTCGACCAGCTCTCTACCAAAGACGATCATTTGGGAATTACTCAAATGCTGCACTTCAGTATCCATCAATGCCAGCATGTAGACCAGCAACTGAAATCTCCTCTATTTCTGCAACAACAGGCTCACCTATCTTTGTTGCTGCTCCAGCTGAGAAAGGAAATTTCGTTGTGGACTTTCTTATGGGTGGAGTTTCCGCTGCTGTATCAAAAACTGCCGCTGCTCCAATTGAACGTGTCAAACTTCTGATACAGAATCAAGATGAGATGATTAAAGCCGGTAGGCTCTCTGAGCCCTATAAGGGTATTGGGGATTGTTTCAATCGAACAATACAATCTGAAGGTGTTGCTTCCCTATGGAGAGGTAACACTGCCAATGTCATCCGTTATTTCCCCACACAGGTCAGCCATTGACTTATCACTCTTGGCAATTTTGTTCTGATGAACTGTGATGCTAAAGAAGGTACTCAAATTCTACCTGCAGGCCTTGAACTTTGCTTTCAAGGACTACTTCAAGAGGCTTTTCAATTTCAGGAAGGACAAAGATGGTTACTGGAAATGGTTTGCAGGCAACTTGGCCTCTGGAGGAGCTGCTGGTGCTTCATCTCTATTGTTTGTTTACTCCCTCGACTATGCTCGAACCCGTCTGGCAAATGATGCAAAGGCAGCTAAGAAGGGTGGAGGAGAAAGGCAATTCAATGGACTTGTTGATGTCTACAAGAAGACCTTAGCTTCTGATGGTGTTGCCGGCCTTTACCGTGGTTTCAACATCTCATGTGTGGGAATCATTGTGTATCGTGGTCTTTATTTTGGAATGTACGATTCTCTGAAGCCAGTTCTCTTGACTGGAAAGTTACAGGTTGGTTTTCTCACTCCATTCTTTTCCTGAACCACATTGCATGTTACTATGTTACGGTTTTTATGATGTTACATCAACAACGAGATCATGTCAAGAATATTACATCACTGTGGTCCATTACCTGTTTTAATTGTTGGATGAATTCTTAAAACAAACTCTTTATATGTTTAGTATATGCTGACAAACTTGCCTTCTATGTTCTGAACAATGTAATCTATCTCCTGCCTACCCTTGTGCAACATAGGTGTCCTGTTATCTGTTCTGAATATGCAAATTACATCTTCTACATTTGTTCATTCAGAGAAAGGCTGACATAAAGGAACTTGACTGTTAATTGTGCATGAGATTCATATCCCAAATTGCACCACAAGATTCCTTTTTTGTTGACAAAATTATTTGATGAAACCCTGAAGCATGCTAGCTGTTTTGTTCAATGAGTGCAGGATAGCTTTTTTGCTAGCTTTGCACTGGGATGGCTCATCACCAATGGTGCAGGGCTAGCATCATACCCCATTGATACTGTTAGAAGAAGGATGATGATGACCTCTGGTGAAGCAGTCAAGTACAAGAGTTCCATGGATGCATTTGCTCAGATTCTTAAGAATGAAGGAGCTAAGTCCTTGTTCAAGGGAGCTGGAGCTAACATCCTCCGTGCCGTCGCCGGAGCCGGTGTGCTTGCCGGCTATGACAAGCTACAGGTATTAGTGTTCGGGAAGAAGTATGGATCCGGTGGTGCTTAAACTTGAAGACTTCTGATTCATATTTAGTGTGTAGATGATCATGAAAATCTGAAGTTTTCTGAGAATTTTGACAAATTGCTCCGGCTGATTTTTTGTTTAATAATTTTATTCTATGGGATTATGTCCCAGAATCAAAATTACTGTCACTTGCATCCACTTTTTGGATAATTTTGAGAAATATTCTCTCTCTCTCTCTCTCTCTCTCTCTATATATATATATATATATAATTAAGGAGCTTTAATTTTTTCCCCCTAATGTAGCTTTACTCTTCATCTTATCTAGCATATCTGATATGTTCATACTTCCTTTCATTTTTTTCTCCATAAAAATGTAAAATATTGAAGCGTGTTGATGACAAGAATAG